TGAGCTCTGCAGGTGAGGGAGAACAGGTGAGCTCTGCAGGTGAGGAGGGACAGGTGAGCTCTGCAGGTGAGGGGGAACAGGTGAGCTCTGCAGGTGAAGAGGGACAGGTGAGCTCGGCAGGTGAAGAGGGACAGGTGAGCTCGGCAGGTGAAGAGGGACAGGTGAGCTCGGCAGGTGAGAGCCCTGCAGGTGAGGGGGGGAGCAGCCAGGTGAGCTCTGCAGGTGAGATCAGCCAGGTGAGCTCTGCAGGTGAGAGCCCTGCAGATGAGGAGGGGAGTGGCCAGGTGAGCCCCACAGGTGAGAGTGGGAGTGGCCAGGTGAGCCCCACAGGTGACTCCAGGTTTCCCAGTAGTGAGGTGGGGACACCTGGGCAGGTGAGGGAAACACCCGGAAGTTGGATAGAAACACCTGGAGGCGGGATAGAAACACCTGGACAGGAGAGGGGAACACCTGGACAGGTGAGGGGAACACCTGGAGCGGGGATAGGAACACCTGGGGTGAGATGGAAACACCTGGAGATGGGCTAGAGACACCTGGGGACGGGAGAGAAACACCTGGGCAGGTGAGGGAAACACCTGGAGATGGACTGGGAACATCTGGAAGCACCTGGCCAGGTGTTGGGCACACCTGGAGCAGGACGAGAACACCTGGCCAGGTGTTGGGCACACCTGGAGCAGGACGAGAACACCTGGCCAGGTGTTGGGCACACCTGGAGCGGGACAAGAACACCTGGCCAGGTGTTGGGCACACCTGGAGCGGGCAGGGAGCCCCGCCCGGGGTCACCTGTGCCCACCTGGGGATCCCGAATCCAATAAAATTCCCGGGATTTTTTTAAAATTTTTTTTTGCCTTTTTTTTGCCTTTTTTGGGGCTGTTTGGGTCTGGTGGGGGAGGGGCGGGGAAAAAATGGGGGGAAAAAAACGGGAAATTGGGAAAAATGGGGAAAAATGGGATAAAAATGGGATAAAAATGGGGAAAAAAAGGGAATTTGGGGAAAAATCGGGAAAAATGGGGAAAAAATGGGAAAAAATGGGAAAAATGGGGAAAATGGGGGAAAAAAGGGAATTTGGGGAAAAATCGGGAAAAATTGGGGAAAAATTGGGGAAAAATTGGGAAAAAAATGGGGAAAAAATGGGAAAAATTGGGAAAAATGGGGAAAAAATGGGAATTTGGGGAAAAATCGGGAAAAATCGGGAAAAATCGGGGAAAATCGGGAAAAATCGGGAAAAATCGGGGGAAAATGGAAAAAATGGGGAAAAAAATGGGAAAAAATGGGGGGAAAAAAACCGGGAAATTGGGGAAAAATGGGAAAAAATGGGATAAAAATGGGGAAAAAAAGGGAATTTGGGGAAAAATCGGGAAAAAATGGGGAAAAAATGGGAAAAAATGGGGAAAAATGGGATAAAAATGGGGAAAAAGGGGGAATTTGGGGAAAAATTGGGAAAAATGGGGAAAAATGGGGGAAAAAAGGGAAAAATTGGGGGGAAAACCCGGGGAATTTGGCGAAAAATTGGGGAAAAATGGGGGGAATTTGGGGAAAAAATTGGGAGAATTGGGATAAAAATGGGGAAATTGGGGAGAAATTGGGAAAAATGGGGGGAAAAATGAGATAAAAATGGGGAATTTGGGGAAAATTTGGGAAAAATGGGATAAAATGGGGAAAAAATGGGGAAAAATTGGATAAAAATGGGATAAAAATGGGGAAAATGGGGGAAAACTTGGGAAAAAATGGGATAAAAACGGGGAGTTTGGGGAAAAAATGGAAAAATTGGGATAAAAATGGGGAATTTGGGGAAAAAAATGGGAAAAAAATGGGATAAATATGGGAAATTGGAGAAAAATGGGATAAAAATGGGGAATTTGGGGAAAAATTGGGAAAAAACGAAAAAATGGGGGGAAATTGGGAAAAAATGAAATAAAATGGGGAAATTGGGGGAGAAATGGGAAAATTGGGAAAAGTGGAAAAGAGAGGGAAAATTGGGAGGAAAATGCAGGAAAAATGGGAAAAAATTGGGGGAAATTCAGGGAAAAGAGGGAATTTTTTGGGGAAAAAAAAGGGAAAATTTGGTGGAAAAATTGGGGAAAAGAGAGGAAAAAAGGTGGGAAAATGGGGGGGGGGAATTGGGGAAAAATGGGAAAATTGGGGGAAAATGGGAAAACTCAAGAGGATTTTTAAGGTAAATCCCACAAATCAAACAAATCCCATAAATCCCATAAATCCTATAAATCCCATAAATCCCCATAAATTCCCATAAATTCCCATAAATTCCATAAATCCCATAAATTCCATAAATTCCCACAAATCCCATAAATCCCACAAATCCCATAAATTCCCACAATTCCCATAAATTCCATAAATCCCATAAATTCCCATAATTCCCATTAATCCCATAAATTCCCATAAATTCCCACAAATCCCATAATTCCCACAAATCCCACAAATCCCCATAAATCCCACAAATCCCACAAATCCCACAAATCCCATAATTCCCATAAATTCCCATAAATCCCACAAATCCCATAAATTCCATAAATCCTATAAATTCCCATAAATCCCATAAAATCCCACAAATCCCACAAATCCCCATAAATCCCACAATTCCCACAATTCCCACAATTCCCATAATTTCCCATAATTCCCCCAATCCGGGCCCTTCCCCTTTTCGGTCCCCCCGGGACCTTTGGACTCTCGGGCGGTTCCGGGTCCGAAGGTTCCGCGGCTCCGCCCGGGAGCGACTCCCGCGGTGCCGGGAATTCCCGGAATTTCCCCTCACCCCGGGGATTTTGGGGAATTTCTCCAGATCCCGAAAATTTTTTGGGAATTTCTTCAGATCCAGGTGAATTTTTTGGGAATATTTCCCCAGATCCCAGAGAAATTTTGGGAATTTCTTCAGATCCACGTGAATTTTTTGGGAATATTTCCCTCGATTCCGGGGAATTTTTTGGGAATATTTCTCCAGAACCCAGAGAATTTTTTGGGAATATTTCCCCAGATCCCGAGGAATTTTTGGGAATATTTCCCTCGATCCAGGTGAATTTTTTGGGAATATTTCTCCAGATCCCGAGGAATTTTTTTGGGAATATTTCCCGTTTTTTCCTCATCTCCTTCCCCCCCCTTTCCCTCTTTTCCCTTTTCCTCTTTATTTCTTTTTCCCCTTTTCCCTTCCCCTCTTTTCCTTTTTCCCTTTTCCCCCTTTTCTTCCTTTCCCTTTCCCCCTTTTTTTTTCCCCTTTTCGTTTTTCCTTTTTTCCTCCTTCCCCCCTTTTCCCCTTTATTTCCTCTTCCTTTCCCTTTTCCCTTTTCCATTTTTCCCATTTCCCATTTCCCCCCTCATTCCCTTTTTCCATTCCCCCGTTTTTCCCTTTTCCCCCTTTTTCCCTTTTCCTTCCTTTTCCTTTTCCCTTTTATTTTCCTTTTCCTTTTCCCCCTTTTCCTCCTTTTCCTTTTTTCCCATTTCCTTTTCCTTTTCTTCCTTTTCCTTCCCCTTTTCCCCTTTTTCCCTTCCCCACTTTTCCCTCTTTTCCCCCTTTTTTCCCTTTTTCTCCTTTTCCTTTTCCTTTTTTTTCCTTTTCCTTTCCCCTTTTTCCCTTTTTCACTTTTCCACTTTTTTCCCTTTTCCCTTTTTTCCTTTTCCTTTTCCTTTTTTCCTTTTCCTTTTCCTTTTTTCCTTTTCCTTTTCCTTTTCCTTTTTTTCCCTTTTCCTTTTCCTTCCCCTTTTCCCCTTTTCCCCTTTTCCCCTTTTTCCCTTTTTTCCCCCCTTTTCCCATCCCATTCCCACTTTTCCCTCTCCCCATTCCCTCCCTTTTCCCAGGATTTTCCCCTCGAGCCCTTCCCAAGGAATTCCCGACCCCAATTCCTGGAATTTCCCATCCCCGCAGGATCGGGAATGGGATCGGGATCGGGAATCCCGACCCCGCTGCTGCTCCTGCTGCTCTCCGCTCTCCATCCCATAATAGGTGAGGGTTTTGGGGTTTTTTTTTTTTTTTTTGGGATCGGGAATCGCTGGGATGGGGAAAGGAATTTTGGGATCAGAATTCCCACGGGAGCCGTTATCCCTGTGCTGGGAACGTGGAATCCAAAAAATCCCGGGATATTGAACCCCAAAAAATTCCGGGATATTGAACCCCAAAAAATTTGGGAATATGAGACCCAAAAAACTTTGGAATGTGGAACCCAAAAAATTCCTGGATATGGAACCCAGAATATTTTGGGATATTGAACCCAAAAAATTCGGGAATGTGAGACCCAAAAAATTCAGGAATATGAGACCCAAAAATTCCGGAATGTGAAACCCAAAGAATTTTGGGATCTTGATCCCAAAAATTTCGGGAGATTGATCCCAAAGAATTCCAGGATATCAAAGCCAAACAATTCTGGGAATGTTAAAGGCAGAGAATTCCGGGATATGGATCCCAAAGAATTTGGGAATATTGATCCCAAATAATTCCGGGATATTGATCCCAAAGAATTCTGGGAATAATGAATCCAAACAATTCGAGGAATATGAAACCCCAAAAATTCGGGAATGTTGATCCCAAAGAATTTGGGAATGTTGATTTCAAATAATTTGGGGATATTGATCCCAATAAATTTGGGGATATTGATCCCGAAAAATCTGGGATTATCGATCCCGAACAATTTGGGGAAATTGATCCTGAAAAATTTGGGGATATTGATCCCAAACAATTTGGGAATACTGATCCAAATGAATTCGGGAATATCGATCCCGAACAGTTTGGGAATATTGATCCCGAACAATCCAGGGATATTGATTCCAATCAGTTTGGGGATATCGATCCCAAACAATCTGGGAATATCAATCCTGAACCATTTGGGGATATTGATCCCGAACAATCCAGGGATATTGATTCCAATCAGTTTGGGGATATCGATCCCAAACAATCTGGGAATATCAATCCTGAACCATTTGGGGATATTGATCCTGAACAATCCAGGGATATTGATTCCAAACAATTTGGGAATATTGAACCCAAATAATTTGGGAATATTGATCCCAATGAATTCGGGAATATCGATCCCGAACAATTTGAGGAAATTGATCCCAAAAAATCTGGGAATATCGATCCTGAACAATCTGGGAATATCGATCCCGAACAATCCGGGAACATCGACCCCAAACAATCCGGGAATATCAATCCCGAACAATTTGGGAACATCGATCCCAAACACTCCTGAAAATATCGATCCTGAACAATCCGGGAATATCGATCCCGAACAATTTGGGGAAATTGATCCCGAACAATTTTGGGAATATCAATCCCAAACAATCCGGGAACATCGATCCCGAACAATCCGGGAACATCGATCCCAAACAATCCGGGAACATCAATCCCAAACAATCCGGGAACATCGATCCCAAACAATCCGGGAATATCAATCCCGAACAATCCGGGAACATCGATCCCGAACAATCCGGGAACATCGATCCCGAACAATCCGGGAACATCGATCCCGAACAATCCGGGAATATCAATCCCGAACAATTTGGGAACATTAATCCTGAACAATCCGGGAACATTGATTCCAAACAATCCGGGAATATCAATCCCGAACAATTTGGGAAATTGATCCCGAACAATTTTGGGAACATCAATCCCAAACAATCCGGGAACATGGATCCCCAGCGCTCCTCCGAGCAGCAATTCCAGGATTTTTTTTTCCCCCCTTTTTTTCTCCCTAGGGAACATTCCCGAGCCGCTGCTGGTGCTGGAGGGGCCGGAGCGGGGCGGCCTCCGGCTCCGCTGCCTCTCGGAGCCCCCGGATCCGCGGGCCCGGCTGCTCTGGAGCGGCCCCGGGGCCCGGGACGGGTCGGGCCGGGCGGAGCCGGGACCCGCGGGCTCGGTGTCGGTGCTGCTGAGGCCGGACCCGGGGAACCGAGCGACCTGCAGGGCCCTGGGACCGAGCCCGGTACCGGCGGCGGAATCGAGAGTCATCATCGCCGGTGAGAGGCCGGGAAGGCACGGGGAGACGAAAAGATAAAAAGAAAAGAAAAAAAAAAAAAGATAAAAATTCGAAAATTAAAAAAGTAAAAAGTACAGAAATCAACAATTCAAAAATCGAAAATGAAAAAATTCTATGATGTCAAAAGTCTAGAAATGAAAAAAAGCAAAAAAATAAAAAATACAAAAATCCAGAAATCCAGAAATCAAAAAATCAAAAAAATAAAAAAAAATAAAAAAATTTTTTAAAAATTTAAAAAAAAAATCCAAAAAATCCAAAAATAAAAAAACACCCAAAAAATAAAAAAAAAATCCAAAAATCAAAAAAATAAAAAACCCCCAAAAATAATAAAAAAAAAATCCAAAAATCCAAAAATCAAAAAATCAAAAAATCAAAAAAATCCAAAAATAAAAAAAAAATCCAAAAATCAAGAAAATCCAAAAATAAAAAAATCCAAAAATGAATAAAATCCAAAAAATCCAAAAATAAAAAAAATCTAAAAAATAAAAAAAGCAAAAAATCCAAAAATCCAAAAATCCAAAAATAAAAAAAATCAAAAAAATCCAAAAATCAAAAAAATCCAAAAATCCAAAAATCAAGGAATCAAAAAAATCCAAAAATCAAAAAAATCCAAAAATCCAAAAATCAAAGAATCAAAAAAATCCAAAAATCAAAGAAATCAAAAAAATCCAAAAATCAAAAAAAAATCCAAAAATCCAAAAAATCAAAAAATAAAAAAATTAATAAAATCCAAAAAATCCAAAAATAAAAAAAATCTAAAAAATCGAAAAAGCAAAAAAATCCAAAAAATCAAAAAAATAAAAAAAAATTTAAAAATTTTAAAAATCCAAAAATCCAAAAAATCAAAAAAATCCAAAAATCCAAAAATAAAAAAATTCCAGAAATCCAAAAATCCAAAAAATCCAAAGATCAAAAAATCCAAAAAAATCCAAAAATCCAAAAATCCAAAAAATCCAAAAATCCAAAAATCAAAAAAATAAAAAAAAATCCAAAAATCAAAAAAATCCAAAAATCCCGCTGGGGAAAGCAGGAGGGGGTGGGAATTTTGGGGGAGTTTTCCCGGTTTTTTGGGGTTTTTTTGGTTTTTTTTTCCCTGGGTTTGGAGGCGTGGGAAGATCCCGAGTTGGTTTTTTGTAGGGATGGGATTGGAATTTCCAGTTTGGGAATGGGGGATTCCCAGTTTGGGATGAGATTCCCAGTTTGGGATGGGATTCCCAGTTTGGGA